CTCCTGCCTAGCTACCCTCCAAGAGAAAATTACTTTTCTCTTGGAGGGGAGGGGTGGCTGTACACAGGCTACAATGACAGATGCACACTGTGTACACTGTAATCAATTAAAATAAATTATTGACTGGATAACAATTATGCGTAGGTTGATCACATGTCTACCACTGATCAAGCTCAGGAAAAAGACTTTTAAAATACATTAAACTATCAGTTTGCACATGCACATTCCTGCATACACAGTTTTGTTACTCACCTATAGGAAATAACATTGATAAAGCAGGTGTCTTGTTCATAACATGGACTCAAGTATATGTCATCTCTCTTTACAAACCTAACCTCAGCTGTGAGCATAAAAATACATGTCAATGTCTGTGAATTTATGAAAATCATATATGTGAACTGCAGTTAAAAAAATGAGTATGAGAGTGACCTTTGCAGTAATAATAATATTATGTGTGAACTTATATAATTTTCACACATTCACAAACATTGACTCATCACTTCATGGGTTTATCATGAACCAGCATAATGACCAGCTCCCAGTTGGCTTGTTAGCTCAGTTGATAGAACACTGCACTGGTATCGCAGAGGTCGATGGGTTCAAATCCTGTAAACAGGCCTGAATTTTTTTCAGGCCTTATTTTCACTACTGCTTCAGTAGTGTTCATTACTGCAAAGTTCGCTCTCATTCTCAAAAATACATGTACCAGTTATCACATTTTTGGATGATACATACATGGACAGTGTACTGCACATCAAACTTTTCAAATTCATGTGAATGGAGATAGATAAATAGAATTCCTGGTATAATCAACTTTTATTTAAAACTTGTAACCGTTACAAGAGATCTCTGCAAGATAACCCCCCCCGACCCATCTATTTTTGAACCCTTTTCCATTAGCTAGTGATGAAACCAATACTAGGACCAATGAACCACAGGTTTAATAAAGAGGGAATGCAATCTGTTCAACCCTTCACCTCCCAGAAGAACTGAACAATTCTAACAAGTTGTCCTTGCAGAATACAGGTGTTGAGAATAGAGACATTGTAGCTTCAAGGGTGTTATATCGATGTGCCACTACGTTATCTTCCTGAACTTCCAGCAAATGGATTGAAACTAGAAGTCACAATAGCCTGCAGTGCAGGCATCTTTTTAGGGTGTTTTAATGTCAAGAAGCGCGCAATTGTTTATTTCACTAGTTTATATAAATATGTTTAATTTGGTGCCAGAGTTGACAGTAGGGGGACAGGGGTGGGAAGGGGTAAGAAGACTCCCCAACCCAGCCCCTCTCCTTATTTTTGACTGTCAGTCACCCCCTTACTACAAATTTCTTTCTCTCCCCTGCCTTCTGCTGCCATTAAAATCAAAGATGGCAGCCATATTTTGCTAAGGAAATACTGAGTACTCACTCGCCCAAATTATGCCTGCTACACAGGCTAGAATTCACAATTACAGCTCAGATCATGACAGTTTCATGGTTGAACATATTAATGATCACAGTACATTCTTAAGCTTCCAAAACCATTTTGATGCAGTGTTGATCACTTCTGGGAGTTAAAGGGTCAAAGGTGTGTGAAAGTTGGGAGTTTTACCAGGTGCATGTGCATGAAATCCAGACTCATTCAGCCAGCTTTGAAGCTTTCTAAGAACATATACTGTCTTATCCCTTGAGAAAAAAAAAATATGTTAGCTAAAACTTTTAAATATTGAATGCCTTTAGCCTTCTCTCCATGACACAACAATGTTAGCATTTATCAATCACACCTGGTATAAAAAACTAAATGGGACGTTTGTAAACTGTCCTCATTTCAACTTGATATGTAAAGACAATCAGTGCTAAAATTTTCCACCCAAAAATACAGTATAATATTAATTTAGGAGTATACAAGATCACTAAAAATTCTTACCACTTAATTCTCATCCCATCTCTTGAATTTAAGTGGCCAAGCCATTTGTAATAAAGTAGACTGAGGTGGTTTTGAGTCGATGCAATGACCAATTGATTACAATGAACTACATTCAGGAGTTGCATCATATTTTTACAGTTATCATTATGATATTTTCTGAGTTTAGCGCTCCATGGCCACCTTGATTGGATTCATCATACACTTGTTTGTTGCACTAACTCTGCCAGAGCGTAATTTACATGTAGGATACAGATCACACTGCTGAGACTCTCACCTCATCCCAACCATATGCGAGTATCACACGAAGTACTATAAAAAAACTTACTGTGGAATGGCCCACTCTGTTACATACTGCTTGAACAGGCAATTGAAGTTAAAAACCTGACAAAGACAATAAATTTAAATCATTTGTTATAGTACAGTTAAACCTTGATTACCTGGACTCATTGGGACTAGACAAAAGAGTCCAGATAATCGAGGGTCTGGATAATTGAATATAATTATGCATGAATATCACCAAGGAACAAAAACTGATTAAATTAAGAAAGCGGCTTTTAATCGTGAAACAAATCGTTTACAAACCGTTTTGAAAGAAATATGGTCTACAACTTTACTGTCTGTTGTGAATACCTCTACCTCATTGCTGCTACTTTCTCATCTTGACCATGCCAAACCAGCCAATGAGCATGAAATCTCTCTTAGCAACTCTAAGCCAATCAATAATTATTTATGACTTGTGTGAGTGCTGCTTTTAATTTGCTTTTTGAAAGCAAAACTAACTCCCCTTTACTTCACTTATTTAACACTGTAGTTTTAAAAAGAGTATGGCTAACTGAGGATCTTGATTATGACTAATAAATATTCATGAAAAAATTGGGAGCAGAGAAAAATTCAGAATAGTCAAGGTCAATCTGGATAATCAAGGTTCAACTGATGAGCTTCTGAATTTAAAGTTAGGTGAGAATACACAAGTGTGTGTTACCCTCCAAAATATAATTATTTATCATTGGAGTGGTGCCACTCTGTCACTAAAGCAGTAGAAAACAATTATCTAAACAATTACCATCGTTTCAGCAAGTATCAACAGTCGATCACCCCATCTCTACTCACAGATGTTTTCAATCTTTTCTCTTTGTGTTTTATACACACATTGGAGAATATCATTGACTGTTAGTCTTCACGCTACTTTCTTGTAACAACTACATTCCTGAATGAAAACTGGATTTGAAAGTGTGAGGAGAAACTCTGAGAGGGAGTTCCAGCCTACCTTGTGGCTTTGATTCACTCTGCTGTGAGGTTTGCAGTCGAAGAGTTTAAAATAAGCCCAGTTCACGTATTGTAGTGAAGATGGCACAAATGAACTATTAAATAAATTAAAAAAAGACAACAAAAACTTGTTAATTAAATTGCAATTATCAATTTATGTTGGTTAAATACAACAAACTGACAAAAAAAATTTCAGAACACAGAATATACTCTTATCATTTAAATAAAATTTGAGCACCTTCAGTCTAAAGTAATAGAAAAAATTGTTGCAGCTATGAAATGTAGCACTGTCACCTTAACCAAAGCACAAGCTCATAAGTGTAAAAACCCACAGCATAGTCCCAAAACCAACTTGGAGTGTCATCTATCGGCTAAAAGATAATTAACAAGATAGGAACATTTCGTGTGGCCAATATGTCAAATGCAGGGAGATTATTTAATAGGCATGCAGTTGATATTAAGCTGGGGTCCTACCCCAAACCACAAGCAAAAAATTCGCTTGGAGGATTTAAGACCACATCAGGGAACAATGCGGAAATCAAACTTAAATGTGACCATTTGCAAGCCTTTTATGTTCTTAATATCAAAATATGTTTCTTTAAATTAATCTTTTCAATGGACATTTATTAACTAATGGGTCATTACAATTGTAGAATGTTAGAAGATATTACTGAACACCCTGTGTGATATTCTTGGTTCACATAATTTCTTGGTTGAGATTTTCTTGTTGGAGAGTTTGATTGATTTCATTCTTTAATTTTCCATTTTTCCATCTATTGATCCATTCATTAAATTTAAACAACTGCAAACAATTACCACTTAACTGATTTAAAAAAATTTAATTAGAATGCTTGTCTAGATAATAAACAACTTACATTACAGGGGATTCATTAAGGGCCAGGCATCAGGCAAATTGAACAGTTGTGAAGACAGTTTTGCCCCCCTGGTTTGAAGATCTGGAGGGAAGTTTGTCTTATGTCCAATTCAAAAAGTTTTGTGCACGTACCTGTGAAAACCATTTGCCCTCCCACTGAAAACATAAATGAAACCCCTACATTAGACAACTTTTTTACCTTGGTAGTCCTATTGACCTCATAGCATTTAACATATCCTGTGTGTGGATACCAATGAAACTTGAAATGATCACTGGCCAGCAGACTTGATTCAAGATTTTCCAACATCTGTATAATTAATGAAAACTTAAATAAGAACTAAATTAATACGTTGACTTGTGTAGTCCTCCTCAATTACAGTCACTGTGACAACAAATAAATATGAATAACTTTTTAAAGGAAGCCCTTTAACTGGGATTTTCACAAAATCAGAGGATTGGGACTTCAAAAAAAAGTTGGGGGATTGGGACTGGAAAAAAAATTAAAACATGATGGACAAAAAAAAGAGTTTCATCAGGAATGATGTTGGATGAACCCACAGCTTGATGTCGACCTACCGACAAATAACCAACAGGTAACGGACAGTCAACCGACAAATGGCCAAGTCTGTCGGCCGACACTTTTACCTGAGAACTGCTGAAACTGTTGGTAAACAGTCGGCCAACTGTTGGCCGTTTGTCGGCCAGCTGTTGGTCATCTGTCAGCCTTTTGTCGGTTGACGGTCGGCCGTTTGTCGGTCGACTGTCGGCTGTTTGTCGGTCGACCGACAGGTTTTTTTGGAGAGTTATTATTGAATTTTACCCATATATGACCAAAATATTTTAAATATAATTAAAAGTCATCCCATGAAACTTGTATTAATCCCAGCTTTGTTCATTTCCACACCTTGTGGCTGATTGTTGTTGGAGTAAAATTTGTTTTGGTCACCATGCAGTCATCATTATTAGAAAAAATTTTTTCATCAGCCAGGATGAGGTTCATCTTTCAAAGAATCCAAACTACATTAACCCTCCAACTCCCATAAGTGATTAGCATGTAGCTTCCCCTTAATGATATCTGTACATTATCCAGCAAAAGGTAATGAGAATATACTCACACTGATCATCAGGTAGCAGTTGCTATCTCATCTAACACCAAATTCTCATAGATTTATAATTACAGGGAAATGTGTAGGAACTAATGAGGGGAGGATTGACAATCAGATTTTGGAAGCTACAGGGTTAATAAATGGTTTTAGTATAATTTCAGAGCTGAGCAAAGAGTTTCCAGCAATCTGATTGGTCGTTTAACATTTTATATAAACCGCTCTATGTGGTTTATATAAAATGTTAAAATAAAATGTTAATAAATGTAACTAAAATGTTATGATTTTACAAATTTCTCTGTTGTTCAGCTCTGAAATTCTTAAAACAATTATTTGCCTCAGGTTTGGTGAATACTGTTGAATAATCCCCTCTACTTTGTCTCGGGGATTATTCGATGATATTCACCTTGCCTTGGGTGAATAATTGTTAAGTACAACAAGCGCTATACCTCTTCCAACATTAAAGGTTTGGTTGTCTCCTGTAAATTAAAAGCCTTTTCACACTGCCAAGTCAAACTGAGAATTATCCCAACAGCACCCAGACCACAAAGTGCAGCTAGGAATATTTCCTTGTTTTTCTCTCTACTACAGTAGATGACCTTGCCATTAGCTGTCATTAGTTCAAGGGATACAACCTGGGGAGAAAAAAGAGCATGATGCTTTACTTTTGGCACGCTTTATAGCAGAAGAGGTGGTAGAGTACATGTAAATATTAAAATCTTATTTAGCAGAATTTTCTCAACATCTGAATAAAAATGGCTCAAGGCATCAAAATTAAGGAACAGAATTCCTTTGTCGACAATACCTTGTAAAATGAACACCCTGTTAACTGTTGAGAATTGCATTAAAAAAAGATATTTTGACCTGCCAAGGATATACAGGCATGTACTATTAGTACGGAAACAATCCTTGTAAGTTACCATAGGCTGCAATTGAAGCAATTAACAATACATAAAAGAAATCTGAAAAATAAAGGAGCAGGTCTGTATTATCAATGGACTGTATCTTGCTGTGTATGTAAGAAACTTACCGACGTGGCAAAAATGCCAAAGTTTTTTCCTGAACCATGTGTACATGTGCCAATGGCACCTGCACATGACATCTCTGATACTGAACTAAGACTACATACCAAACAAACAGAGAAACAAACAAAGTGTAAGTTTTGCATTGTACAGGTGTCGTTTTGACACTGCCATTTTAAAAATTATGTGACTTACAAGTGGAAACTTGGTCACTAAAATCATGTTTATATCAAAAGTCCCTTCAACCCTGCAATAATCAATATTATTTTAATTGATCCTTTGACTCCCAGAAGTGATTGACATGTAACTTCTCCCTCTAATATCCATACATTATTATATACTAAAACAGTGAATAGTGTTGAAGGCGGGCTCTGACTGGCTAGTCAAACTCCGAATATCCTTTGTTATTTACCTCCGAGCAACTCAGGAAAAAATACGTATGAAGCATTATCCTCGCAGTAGAGAGTGCAATTTATGCAATAGCATAAATCAGACCTGAAAAAAATCAGGTCTGTATGGGATTCGAACCACTGACCTCTGCAATACTAGTGCGGCGCTCTACCAATTGAGCTAACAAGCCAACTGGGAGCAGGCCGTTAAGTTGATTCTTAATAAACCCGTGATGATAAATCAGATACAATGAATATATGAAGTTCATAATGAACTTCATATATTCATTGTATCTGATTTATCATCACGGGTTTATTAGGAATCAACTTAACAGCCTGCTCCCAGTTGGCTAATGTTAGCTCAGTTGGTAGAGCGCTGCACTATTATCGCAGAGGTCAGTGGTTTGAATCCCGTACAGGCCTGATTTTTTTTTTTTAGGTCTGATTTTCGCTATTACATAAATAGCGCTCTCTACTGCAAGGATCGTGCCTCATATGTATCTAATACCGCCGTTCAAAATGAACTTCATATATTCATTGTATCTGATTTATCATCATCACGGGTTTATTAGGAATCAACTTAACGGCCTGCTCCCAGTTGGCTAATGTTAGCTCAGTTGGTAGAGCGCTGCACTATTATCGCAGAGGTCAGTGGTTTGAATCCCGTACAGGCCTGATTTTTTTTTTTTAGGTCTGATTTTTGCTATTGCATAAATAGCGCTCTCCACTGCGAGGATCGTGCATCATACGTATCTAATACCGCAGTTCAAAATATATGAACTTCATATATTCATTGTATCAGGAAAAAATGGTGTCTGGGTTTGTAACCATGACAAGCGAAGAAATCACTCAAATCAATTTTTGGTGGTGTATATTATTTCACTGTTTTAGTATATACTAAAACAACTATTCACTTCAGTATTGGTGGTTAGCAGTGGACATTTACCTCACTGGTTTGCGGCTCAGTAAATATCCACCACTAACCACCTCCACTTCGGTGAATAGTTGTTAATTATCCAGCCAAAAGGTAACGAGAATATTCAAACTTATCAGATGGAAGCTACCTTGATCTAACATCAGATTCTTGTAACTAGTTAAAATAGGAGATGTGTAGCAGCTGGAGGAGAGAATTAACAATCAGATCTTGGGAGCCAAAGGGTAAGATCACACCAACCTACCACAATCATCTCAGCCATTAATTTTATGCTGCATGTTTTGGTCGTTATAACAAATCAGTAGGAGAAATTTTGGTGTCTGTTAGCGTCTGTACTTCCTAAAACAGCTAAAGCGCGCTAAAGTTCCATCTGAGGATATGCTACTTTTCTATACAACATGTATACGCCCTGTAATAGAATATGCGTGCCCAGTTTTTCATCATTCTTTGCCGCAATATCTGTCCAATGAAATGGAAAGGTTGCAAAAACGCGTGTTGCGGATGATTCAACCTAACTTATCCTACGCTGAGGCTCTAGTAGCTCTTAACATTGCGTCACTGTACGAGAGGAGGGAGATGTTGTGTGATGCTCTATTTGATCAGATTGTAAGGGACGAGAACCACAAGCTCCATGATCTGTTGCCTCCACGCAACGAGTCCACCTATCGCACTTGCAGCCAGAGGATACTTCAAGCTACCGATTTGTAAGACAACTAGGTTCAAAAACACATTTATCATGGTGAACAGTTTTAATTATTAGTAGCTATCTTAATTATTTGTATTTTGGTTTTTGATACTTCTCTTATTGTATTTTATTGTAGATTACACTTTGCGGCTTTTATTGTAGTTATCTTAGAGTAAGAGATCATTTATTCCCATTGTAAAGTAAGTCGTATTTCAGCCGGCCCGGGGGCTCCAATGATTTTACTTCCTAATAAAGCTATCTATCTATCTATCTATCTATCTATCTATCTATCTATCTTCAAGCACAAGGTTTCAATTCAGAGATCTTAATAGCCAGCAGTCATGTACTAATCACATTTTTTTTCCATTTGTTAAATTGAAGTGTTCAAGGTCCAAAGATAACATAATATTATAACATAAATTATGCATTTACCGGTAACACTGAATTCAATATCCATTTAGTAATTCAGACAGTCAAACACTTCACTGTAAATTACACAGGATTATAAATGTGGTTTATATCTAGAAAACACCCTTTGGCTGATAATCAATAGCCTGATAATTTGTTCTCACCACCAGTTTGCAAATAAAGATCACATTTTGGAATCATGAGAAGAAGCTAAATGTGGCTTCATGCAGTTTCCTTGAGGGTTTATTTATCTAAGTTAGCATTCGTGAAGTTGTGTGAGCCTCTGAAAGCAATTTATGTGATTCAGGTTTCTTTTCTGGCTTTCCTTTCATGATTTATGGTTTCCAAATGACACTTTTGAAAAGAATAGAGCTGAGACCAGCTAATTTTGTTTGTGAACACCTACCTGGGTAATGCTAAGCCATGGTCATCCAACAACTCATTGAGTTCATTAACCATCAAACCAGCTTCAACTGTCACTTGTTTCTTGTCATAGTCTATCTAAAATAACAATAATTATGGGAATTGCTATCTACTGGCTATCTTGAGAATCATTCATTGGTCAAAAGAAGTAAAGTTAAATGCTATACTCAAGCCAAGTTCCCCCCACCCCAGTTAGAGCTTATCCCAATTTCCTTAGCATGAAGTGACTAGGAGTATTATTACCTACTCCCCCCTGGATGGCAAGCTAACAGGGTTGTCTCTTGCTTAAAGCACTGGGTACTGGCAAAATTCCCTGTATGAAGAAATCGTGATTGGTGGCTGGATTCTTGGCCCGTACTTGCTTGCTAAATATATAGCATGATGGCCGGGCACTTCCACAGTTACACACTTACAATCATTCACCACCTCTGAACTACCTCACTTGAAATTTCAGTCAGCAGTGTAATTTCTCAGCTACAACATGCATGACACTAGTCCATCATAAGGCAGCCCCCCCCCTGCCCTGCCCACCAGCATTCCATCAGGTTTCCCTGACAATTTGCTAGTATATACCCATGTACACTCCTGGGGGGGGGGGGAGGGGAAGAGAGAGAGGCACTGTAAGAGTATAACATGTTTTGCCCAACAACAAAATACAATGACTTGGGTGGGTTCCAGACCATTTGACTTTGAGTCCAGCACACTAGCCATTAGGTCACCAGGTCTGCCACAATCAAAAGAAATACAGACAATGAAAATATTTCATATCATACCAAGGAGGAGTCCACTAAAATGTTACAGTATAGTAACCATTGTCAGCTAAACAGTTACAAAAGTGTTCATCTTGTTTTATTCCATGCAGGTAACTATGAGTTTATTTTTGTGTTTTGAAATCAATACTGAGACCTCTGGGCCCAGTTGTTCAAAGGCCGATTAGCACTAACCCAAGGTTAAATTCTAATCAGGGTTTCTTTAATCCTTTGTTTAAAAGTCTTTTTTGGGATAATATTCCTTACAATTTTTAGAGCATCCAATCACCAAGTTGTAGACAAAAAGAATTCCACTTAATTTCTTTTTAAAGCTTTCAGATCTGAAATCAGATTTTACAGTAACCCTGGGTTATCTTAACTCTGCTTTGAACAACCTGGCCCAGCTGGTTCTTTGCATTTACTGATATACTCCTTGTGTGTGAACAGTATTTTGCCAATACAGCTATCTTGTTACTTGACAATTTTGATCAGACTTTGCCCCATCACATGACAATTTCCCATAAACAACCCAAACTTTATGAAAAAATCCTAGCCTGTTGAAAACAAGTTCACATTGCCTAAAGTGCTATTGCTTGTCAAGTTTCCATGCAATTCTAACCATCTCTTTTGCCCTTAGGCTACCTCAAAATTTACCCAATCATGTGCCAATTCCAAGTACAACCAGCCTTTCAAATATGATCCTTTTATAATAATAATAACAACATAAAAACATAATTGGTTTTGCTTTCCACAGTAAAATTATGTAGTATAATATTTTTTTGGGTGTCAACTGTACAATAATTTTGATTTTGACACTGGCTGAGCAAGGGCTGTAAGCATGGCACCAATTCAATCTATTCTTGATTGAAATTGCCCAAAAGAAAGAGACAATAGACTCAAAAATATCTATTTTGTGAGGTTACTTCAGAAAAATCGGAGCAACTTCAAAATACCCGTCCACATCATTTACATACGTCGGGAGGCTTTGAAGAATGACGCATAACACAATACACACTGTTCTTTTTCAATGACATGGAAATGATGTGGCCGGGTATTCTGAAGTTGAAAAATCAAAGTAGTGCTCTATTGCCCTCTATAAAAACAAAATAAAGTGATTTCGTTTCTGTTGAATGTTTTGAAAGTCAATGCGGTTAAACCTACTTTTTTTTTTTGCAATAATGTACACATCAGTAACACAACTAGTCTCGACCCAGCCGATTTATCCCCAAAAATAACTGTTGTAGGCGTAGCATGCCTGTTGTTCTCCTTCCAGCCTGTTTGTGAGCACACAATACTAAACACGCTATGATCAAAGGAAATGTATTTTTAATTACACAATCCCAATAAAAGCAATAAAAGATAAACAAATCCTTTACAGCTTCAATTCACTTCCCACTAAAAATGAATGACTGTGGTAAACGCTCATAAAAAATCATCATGTTTGCTTGATTTCCCGACTGAAATGCTTCGAACGTCATGGCAAGAGATAAGCATTAGCTTCCTTAAGTACTCACTAGTACAGGGCATTTTGGCTTAAAATAGCAAATCTTCTGTTCGCACGTGTAAGACACTTTTATCCAATCTAGCAAGCGTTCTCGAACATATCAGTTTATGTTTTTGCTTAAAACGTTTACGTGCATTATGTGCTTTAAAAAAATGATCGTTCGCAAACGCACCTGTAGGTGTGATAAAAAATCTCCCAACAATAAAACTTAGAATCACGTTACATTAATTACATAACACATCGTTCTAAGACTGAAGACTCCAAATGCACAAATGGAAAAGTAATAAACGCCCAACGACTCTTACCTCCAAAACAGCCTTCATCTTTTTTAGACTTATCATGTATCCATCTGTACATGCAATGTCGGATGGCGAATGTCCTCCGCCTACAACACGCACAGTCTTATGTAACTGGGTAGCCGCATAAAGGATCTGCGTTTTGTAAAGAAACAAAATCAGATATATTGCACCGAAATATCTCAATAGTCTGAGGATGACCTGTCGATTGTTGGATCGAACGAACAAAAACGTAGCCTAATTGCCATAGGCATACTTCAACTCACTTGTCTGATGTCTTCAATGGTTTCTGGTTCGAAAAATAGCTCTGGTGTACACGAGAACGTTTTCGCCCAGTTAGTAAAAAGATAGCCTCGCTGGCCATTCGATAAAATTTCTTCTACACCAGAATCGCGGCGTTGTTCCATGTTGATTCAAGCAAGTTCTGGAGATAGTGAAAAATGCCACAGAACAAAATAACTTATTATTTTCGTGTAAAAGTTTAATGTTCACTGTTGCATCACATGTTTTCTGTGTACGTGGGTCACGAAACGTCCGCCAGTTGAAAGTGCGCGCCAAACTGTAAAATAAAATAAATACAAGAATGGACATCCAAGACATGGGACTGTACATCTTTAGTCCAAAAGTCTTCAACGAATCAGTCAGGCTATAATTTTGAGAAAAAAGGTATAATTTTTTATTTCATAAGACGTGTTTTGTCCTAATCTGTTTGACACAACACAAAGGGAATTCATAATTAATTAGTTGAATTCATAATTATTTTTCCTCACTCAAGAAAACGTTACATGCAAGGTATCATTATTAATATAACACTTTCTCATAATCTTTCATTCTCGCGTTTTATTTCGATGTTGTACAAATTATTTTTTTTTAATGAACATGATAAATTTCACAATTTGGCCACAATTTTCTATTGCGCATCTCATTTTTAAAATAAATTCAGAAATTGATCACAGATGACGTGAAACGTGGAAAGAACAATGGAGTGGCACCCGAGGTACAGCCGAGTAGGTCTTGTCACTGATGTTCAAAGATGGATGACGTCAAACTGTGGTAGAAAAAAAAAAGTGGCACTCGACTCGGACTCGAGGGGCAAAGGTGTCATTGAGATTCAGAAATTGAAAAAGATCACAAATGACGTAAAAATGTGGTAAAAATAAAAAGGTGACAAACGAATTGCGGCCAAGTGTGCCCCTGTTTTGGCTCTTATTCACATTTTCACGTCATCTGTTATCTATTCTTTACGCAGAAGCTTGACAAAATAGATATTTGTTACATAATGATAATTAGTTATCACCGCTGAAAATATATATTCCACATTATATGCTATCAATCATGCTTCATCTCCATTTCCTTCTTCCTTTTTCTATTGAGTAGGAGTCTCGTTAATGGAACTTTAGCTCTGTGAGATCTCTCCTGCCAAATTGTTTTTGGCGAAGCTTATAAATAAATAAATAAATATTGCCCATACATCCTTATCGTTCATCACTTCCTTTTCCTCCACTCCATTTTCTTCTCCCCATTGCATTCTTCATTCTTGTCTCCTCTTTTCCCTTTCCTATCTCCACTCTCCTCGTTCCCCTTTCCCCTTTTCTCCTTCCTCTTCCTTCTTTCTTCTTTCCTCAACCTCGTTCCCAGGGCCTTTTCCCTTAGCTGCGAAACTCCACCCCCAACTAAAGGAAGAGGCCCTGGGAACGAGGTTGCTCTCACCTCTTTCCCTTTTTCCAGTTCTCGTACTTGTTTAACAGCAAGATTTCTGCGCATGCTGCGGACCTGCTCGTGTCTATTTACGGACACTCACTCCCCTTACATTTGTGATAACATAGTAGTACCCACCCAAGAAAAGGAGACAGAGAAAAAAGAGGATAACAAAAATATAAGTCCTTTTATCAAACTTATTCATATAATTTACTTAACCGGACTGATAATTTCTTCAGCAAAGTTCCATAAAGCACCAGATGATGCTTGTAAATACTGCTGAGAAGATTTTAAATAATTTAATCTTGAGTAGCGGTGGTCGAAATCATTGAGTGAATTCTTGCTAATGTTCATCTCCCATGATTCTATAGAAAATTTCACTGCCTGACGAGTGAATCCCGCGTTAAATTTCACGCGAAAAACCGATATCGCACGAATCGCAAAGCGATGAATGCGATATCGGTTTTCAAGTGAAATTTAACGTGGAATTCACGAGTCAGGCAGTCAATTTTTTTTTAATCGCATAACTGAATAGAAATAAGAAAACAAGAAATTAAAACGGCAATGTTATTGTTTGTTTTTATCCCGTACGCGCGCCCTAGAAAGCCATTTTAAAGTCAACTGTCAGAACTGTCATTGCCAAGGGAATAGAAGCAAGGTAAGTCACTCACGTTTGAACCGTCGACAATTTTATTTGTACCTCGTGAATTTTTCTTGAATCGCTTAGCGAAAGCCACCAAATGACTGGGCGAAACCAGATGTTTTGTATTTTTGTTCGCCACGCCAGTGCGCAAACTGATGGAAACCCTTTCAAAGTCAGGTGTAAATATCTAGCGAATAGAGGGAACAAGATATTTTAGAATGAAAACCACTTTTATTTCAAACTCGTGGAGAAAGCAGTGCCTCACATTTTACAATCTTCAGCAAAAAAACCGGGAGTACAAAATACGGAGTTATTTAAGACAGAGATTTGCCTGCTACCACTCAACTTTGCAAAATGTGGCGCCAACAATCAACAAATCAGAGCGCGTGTTTACCTTAAGCTGTGCGATTCTGAAAGGCATAACTACCTCGGCCGGTACCAGGATGTATATCGTGGAATCGCATAGCTTAAGGTAAACACGCGCTCTGATTGGTCAATACGTCAACCGAAAGAGAGTGTATTTAGCGTGGAATCGTACTAATACATAAAGCGATATCGTTAGTTATTACACGACTCGGGCAGTCATAGGGCCAATAACTAAAATCAACCAATCAAAATGCTCTATTGCCAGTCAATATATTCTCTCAGTATTGGACCGGGCACTTTCCCGAATGGTCCCGAATGATACCGCACTTGAGTCCCTTTGAACTTCAGTCGTATAATAAATCTCTTATTAACCAAGCTTGCTCGGGACTGTACTGGACGAATATCGGCCCTCGGTCTTTTTTGTACGGACCTCGCTGCACTCGGTCCGTACTGTCAAGACCGTCGGGCCGGTATTAGGGATCTTAAGCAACCACGACGGCGACGGCAACGAGGAAGTGGAAAAACAAGAGATCTAATTGGCAGAACAATAGCTCAGCACGTGCGTTTTGAAATTTTGTACATTTCGTAGCCGTCCTATGCAAAAGAAAAACAACGTGAAATCGCCAAAATTTACGTCGTCTGCGAACCGAAACCACGACTGCAAATTATTTCAGTTTCTATTTGGAACTCAACGCTACTTTCATACGTCATGCTGAAGTTGAGCTGTGGTGCCATATGAGACAGTAAGCTCCTGCAGCCATGTTTGAAATTCTAACTAAGAGTAGAAATTCATTTTTTAATCGGAGTCTTCATTGGCGTTGCCATCCTGATTACTTAAGGTCCCTATTCCCCCAGTACGGCCCTCGCGCTTGGTTAATAAGATATATATATTGACAGCTGACTTTGAAAGGGTTTTCATTGTTTGCGCACTGCCCTTTGCGCACAAAAGTACAAAGCATCCGGTTTCGCCCAGTCATTTGGTGGCTTTAGCTATGCGATTCAAGAAAAATTCAGGAGGTACAAATAAAATTGTCGATGGTTCAAACGTGAGCGACTTAGCTTGCTTTCTATTCCCTTAGCAATGACAGTTCTGATAGTTGACTTTAAAATGGCTTTCTATAGGGCGCGCGTACGGGATAAAAACAAACAATAATATTGCCGTTTTAATTTCTTGTTTTCTAATTTTTATTCAGTTATGCGATTCAAGAAAAATTGACTGCCTGACTCGTGAATTACACGTTTAAATTCGTTTGAAAAACCGATATCGCACTCATCGCTTTGCGATTCGTGCGATATCGGTTTTTCCCGTGAAATTTAACGCGGAATTCACTCGTCAGGCAGTGAATTTTTCTATCGAAGATTCCCACGGGCTGTTAAAAAGTAAACAACTCTCTGTTAGCGCCAACTTTAATACGTGTTTGATGAGTCACCAAACATCTCCCGTTTCCTATGAACAACGAGCGGTTCGAATTCTCACAAAAGTACTGGAATAACTCTAAACGATTGAATTATCACTCCCTTCATAGAGAGATACAAGGTCGTAAAATTCTCTGAGGCAAAATGATTGCCTCGGTCATTTCATCTGATATTACTTCCAACAAAGGGTGGACCAGACATTATTTATCGCCGGGGGACTGGAGGATTTAGGGGGGTCACACGGTTTTCAGGGGCCGGGGGAGCGAAAGGGGGATCAGTAGTCCGTAACAGAGTATAAAAGGGAAGACTATAGAAATTTGACTGCCAAGTAACTGTTTGGGATGAAAGAGAGATCATAAGAAATTTTACATGGTCTAAGTAGGGGATGAGGTAAATTTTATCGTGACACAACTAAAATCCTCTGACCTCACCCCTCCTCCCTCAGGCAATAAATGGGCCATTCCCTTACTACGGCACAACGTGACATGACCTTCAACACGAACATTGCGGGCTGTACTCTTTAGGGAACTAAGATGGGATTCAGAGGGAAATGATCAGAACACAGACTGGTGTGATGGTTTATTTAATACAGTCTCTACAAAGATACACTTCTCATGCAAAAGTCCTTCAAAGAATAGTTCTATCCCATTGAGATCATTTCAGTTTTCCTGTTTCTGACAACCATAGCACTTTGGATACATACCGCCTACACCACAAAATCATATTCAGCTACAAATAGACACTGACTTTTTTCCAGAACTGATTAAAAAAATTCATAATAACTTATGACAAATGTGAGATATTCGTGGTTTCGCTGTATTTGATACAACGTGCTTTAAGACTCCAAAATACGAATACATTACAACGCTTGCAGTGTGAATAAGCTATTTGTTGAACAGTAATACATTGTAATAATCCTTTAATGGTAATCTTAATTTTTCAAAACTCAAATATAAAATGATGAAATAACAATAAAAGAACTTGTGCGATAATTTGAGGTATAAAAACACACGAGCTCAAATTATGTTACTCGTCAAATAGGGCGTATTCTGGGCGTGTGCTGAAAACAATCACAGATATCAATAATCGATTGAAAATAACGCAGGTACAAATAACCTTTCGAAAAATCATTACTATCCAAAATAAACGAGAAATTCAAAAGTTATCCATTGCTTGAATCAGTACATAGAAGTGTATTGGCCATAAAATGGTACCGACGGGTACATGTACATTGAATATCCGGCGCAAGATGGATCGTAGGCAGTTGGCTGTGGCTGAAAATTTTCACAACTTTGAGGCGAAGACGACGAGTAACGCAAATTCAACAGAAGCTGAACTGCTATCTGTTCTTCTTGAAATCTTTGATAGTAATATTCTTGGAGGGAATTTCCAACGTTGTTCTGGGCTGCTTCAAACGGAGAGCGGTTCGAGTGATTGAATTCAGTCAATTCTTCTTCGCTTTCCCTTTCATTGCGCGGCGAAGAACTTGGATTTTCGGTGTAGAAACTGCTTTCGTTTTTTCTTAACTTTTCAGAGACTCTCTCCTCTCCTCCAGGTGACTTGAATTTGTCATAACGCTGTTCTCGAAAAGAAGGACTTTCTCTTTTCATGGTAGTCAACGTTCCTTGAGCGACTCTCTTCTTTTTCCTTGAAGGGCAGGTCCGCTTAACCAAATACATTAGTTCCGGCTTATCTCGTTTAAAATGGACATGTTCAAACTCCATGTTTTTTGAAGGGTCACCCTTTCCGTTAACGGGAACTTTTCGGAAACCGTACAGGTTAAGCTGTCTCACAAAGCTAGTAAAATTCCTGGTTTTGAACATTTCTGCGCTTTCGTCTAGAACCTGGCGTTTGAATACTTCACCGTCAGAAATGAGAATCGCACCACCATTTTCTGACCACCGGATGGCTTTTCGGTATTTTTCTTCATTGAGAAGTAGCTTGAGCTTGGAAATAAACGGACTGAGAGGTTTTCCTTTAACAGGAGAGAACAAGCTGTTGGCCATGTTCATTTCTGAGCCGAGTCGTTCTAAACGTTTGTCGTCACTGCCTGGAAAACAAAAACAAAAGTAACGATTTCACAAATTTGACAAGAACAAAACAGGTCGAAAAGTGGTAAAAGAATAAATAGTTTAGGCTTCTAGTATTTTAGAGAGCAAACAATTTCAGTCGACGGTACTCCTTAAAGAATTCTTAAAGAAAACGTTGCCTTCGCTATTCTTGAAACCACATTTTTACCGCCCTTTCTTCGTTTCATATTTTCATTCTAGAAGAAGGAACTCCTCCTAAATTAAAGGCAAACCTTTTCGCAAAAAAACCTGAAATTCACCGCTCGACATTCGACTCAAAACTAAACACCCATCTCCTAAAGTCGAAACGAATACAACCCTGGGAAACAAAAGAAAAACTCACAAAATAACTATACAAACCTTCATCATGAGTTGAGACGAAAATGCCCACTGAAGATGTAGAACAACTTGGCCGGCAAAAGTTATCTTTAGTAAAAGGTTTTCTTGCTGACGCCGTGACACACCCCTCGACCAATCAGAATAAAGAACAGACATTCGACGTGGTCTCCAATTGGTTGAAGTTTGACATGCATGTTTCAAAATTATGTCGACAGTGCTCAGTGTCGAAAGCCCTTGACGACACTGCTCACGATTATCCTCACGATTTACATCGTAAGTTCTTCTCTCTTTCATGGTTAAAATTGGTTAACATAGTTTTTACGTTCTGAAAAAAGAAATTTTAATGAAAGAAGACCTGGTAGTAGTCAGAGTAAGTTTCATTCAATAACCCAGTGTTTTACAGACGCAAAATATCCGTGTCTTTAGGATAGCAGCGTAAAAATTCTGACCTTGTTCTCACACCTCACCCCTGTTTACGATTGATAATGATGTAGAATCTTTGTTTCTAACTAAAGGAGCTCCAGCATTGGCCGCTGGCCCTTTCCCTTTTGCCTGTGGAGTTAATGTGCGCACTTCACGTTTTTTCACTAAGTTAAAACTGAAGAACTGTGACTTTTATACTAAACGGACCGACTTAACTCTCCCTCACCCTCCCCTCAAGGGCTCCGTTTTTTTACGGTAGTTTTTCGTCTCGAAGTGCTGCTTTCAATTTTGTCGTATTTATATGCAAGAGAAGATGTACAAACACATAATTTAGAGAGATGAGAGTTACGACTTTAGAAACTGGAATCCGTCTTTCCTTTCTCATCCACCCTACAGGCCTCAATCACAATTGCCCTTGATACCCCTCCCCTGCCAGTCGACACCCACTCTCGCTCACCCACGCAGCGACTGCGCGTCGCGTCCAGTAGTGCGCGTCAACAATATTGGATTGCTTGTTTCCGTTCACCGCTTCGGTGGTTTGATTTACCGTTGATCTCAGAGATTTATGCGGTTTATTCCGTTTCAATGTCGACTTTAATTGGGACATTCGATCCAGATAATTATGGTTCTGCAATAAGAATGGATGGCAGCATTTAAAACAAACACAACATGGCAGACTTTGAATACGACGATTCGACCTTTTACAGCTCTCGTCCTTTAGAGGAAAGATGGCCGCCTTTGGGAGCAGCCAATCCCGCCGAAAATGGAGGCAAGACTTCTGAATTTTCGAGAAAGTAAGTATTTTTTTTTCTTCGATAGTTCATTACGTGATTTTTTGTTAAATTTTTCATGTTTAGAGCAATTCCAACGTTAAAAAAAGTTTTGCACGGTAGATTTGGTTGTGGTGGGTTGTTAGTTCATTTTGCACATCGATTAAATCTCCTCGTGTGTTCTTTCCTTCTTTCTCGACTTCTCTAAAAATATTAGAAACAACTTTTGACCACAAAACTGCTGAAGCGAACTTACGTAAGTTTTGTATCTTACTCGTAACCGTCAGTTTGAAATTAGACAGGGAAATTTTTTGTTAGGTAAATATAATATCGAAGATTTATTCGTTCCCCTTATGATCATTTGTGTGGACAGTTCGTTTTTACTCAAAATTATTTTATTTCCATGCCATTTGTTATTCAAAATTAGTTAAGATGATATAGGGTAATTTTGTGGAGGTTAATTTGTCGTTGTAAAGTATTTATTGATCAAAGGAATGGACGTACGGAGATTGATTTGGCGAAAAGTTTTGTCAAGGAAAATGTCTTTTTTTCTCTGAATAATTTATGAAAATGTCAGAGAAAAATTATCCTTTTATGATTGATTTGATTCATGCTGTAAATAAGAAAGATTCGGATGCTTCCTTTTTTAGGAAGGTTTATGACTTACTTCCTGGTTCTGTCGTGGTTTGAAATAACGTGTCGAATAGTCAACATTTTTCTCGAATCTCGTATTTCAATATTGTAGGAAACCTATGCCAGCACTTCCCAATAACCTACACGATTTCGTGTTTTTTTTCTCTGTTAAGCTGAAAATGTCCTTTTCACAGCATGATTAATCCACTTATGTTTAAAAAATGTTTGCAAGCAGAGGCTTTTTTTTTAATTCGGCCTCTTAGTCGCAAGAAAATGTTTTAAATGATAAAAGGTAAAAATTGTTATGAACATCTTCTAATACTATGCTCGTTGTGCTTTTTTCCAAAGATAACTAATTTGCTAATCTTGATTCAAAGTCTTTCTTTACTGGATCCACAATGTTAAAATACACAAAATTACAGTGTTGTACTCTGTATTTGAAAGGATAATGGGTCAATTTTCTTATATTGTTACTTGGAGGTCCCAATGCGGGGTTAATTTGGTACACCAGTGATTTCCTTTATTTACATTATTATAAGATTGGATTCTGTGCAAAGAATGAAATGAATGAACCATCTACCAAAGTAACAGTGTGAGACAGCTCAGTATGTACAAGGTGTATATGTTGCTGGTAATTTTTGCTTAAGTTAATTTTATTTTAAAATTCTAAAGGTAATTTTCTTTTCAGTGGGTAAATTTTTTCTTTTGACTGCGTAAAATTTTTCGTAACTCGAAGCTATTTTGTACCTATTCAACCAGCCTTAACTGGAAGAGGAAAATTAAATGTTGATTAAACTCTTGATATGATAAGTTTCCTACACTACAGTAGCACAGCATAGTTTTTTCTACTTAAAGCTTTGAAATTAACAGGTTCATATTTTAGAGTTACGAGGTTCAATGCAATACTTAAATTTGTTTAGATGACAAAGCATCTATGCTGAAGGTTACTATGTTTTGAAAGTCTTAATAGATTAATACACTGTAATTTTGGTGACTCCCCATGACTTGTTGGATGCTCTGGTCTTTGTGCTTTTCTCCTCCCTGTGAGGGTATCTTTCTTTATTGCTGATTCAAGGTGTCATTTTCAATTTCCATGGTGATGCTAGGTATCTCAAAGAATGCATACATGTAAATCTGAGCATGAATCAAGACAAATAGCAAATGTTAAAATAGATTCTTTGTGACAGAAATTAACATGCATTGAAAACAGTAGGGGCTAAGATCTCCTTAGAGCTACCAACGAAAGAGATTTGTGAAGAGGTTTACTGCATACTCTTTGTTAAGTTCCAGATTAAGTCAGAGGTGAGCTGCACTAGACATGAATGCGGCATAGAACGACTTGTTTTAGCTAGTGTGAATTGGTACAGTATGATTATAATTTCCACATTTCCATTTCTAGTTCTCAAAGTTATCAGCAGCTTTTGATTCAGTGGCATTTATGTTTGACAGAGGCAGCTACTTCTTTCTCTAATAATATCTAAGAAAAATATCCCATAGGCTTGCCAGTCAGCATGATATATGCGACTGTGGTAATTTTCTGGCTTTTGGCCACTTTTGATGATCCTCCCTTTGATGAATTTTAAAAGTCCACAAAGAAAGTTGCATGCAAGTGTATAATTTTCTTTGTCTTCAGATGCAGAAATATATTTTAATCTCTGATTGTACTTAACCTTATTCATAGATTACAAATGAGGTTTTAATTTTAACTAATACAGTAGGTGGTGTAAAATTATCAAGTTCTGAATGCAACTTCAACATTGTTTAAAAGGTTTCTACTGCAATTTTTCTGAAGTGAACTGAAAATATACTTTGCAGCTGCTTGATGCTAACTGAAAGATAAAATCAATCAAGCAAGGGCTACATTTTATATGCAAATTCCCTTGTTTTTATAACCAGCGGCTGTTGAAAGAGGATATATTTAACCAAAATATACTTCATAGTCTTGTCTTAAGAACAAGGCATTTTTCCATATAACATGTCTATAAGAAGTTGAATCTACATGGTGACCTTATTATTTTTTTGTTTTCTTTTGTTTACTTTTTTTTTTTTTTGCATTGTTTGAAAGCTGAGTTTTCATGCACAGTTATAGGTCATGTCTTTCTTATTCTTTCAAGTACCACATTTTGAAACTATAGTGTATCAACATACTATATTACACCTATAGAATAAAGAGTGTCAACTTTGCAATTTTTTGGGGAGAAAATTTATCAAGGGTAACAGTTGCATGAATTAACCTTCAGAGCTTTAACCCATTAATGGCCGCAGCTTTTGAGTAGAACTGTGTTTTGAAGCTAGTCGAGCAGATTTCGGGCCACTGTTGTGGTTTTAAAAGCTCACACTTACCAAAAACCCCTTGACAGCTCATACGCTCGACGGCCTTTCGATCCAAATGCAAAATGGCGGCCTGAAAATTTCAGGCAGGTGCAGAAAGCAAAATTTTGAGGTTGAAAAGTAATGCCCCACTTACGACTTTTACTTTTCTCTCTTTCTCCTGCCCTTTGTTTCCCCTCTCCTTGCCTGAAGTTTCTCCTCACTTACTGGAAATTTAGTAGGCTTCATTTTGGTGTAGAGATTTTTTAGGAAACTACTCATTATTTGCAAAGCACATTCTCAGAAAGGTAGGTGGGTAATGGAACAAGATTTTCGTGCAGATTTTCAGGTCAAAGTTACATGGTTT